AATACAGGGTAAGCAAAGAAATCTATTCAAACACATCAATTTATCTGGTTGCTTTGAGAAAAAAGCAGATGACAAAGAGGTGGTGAGCAGGAGGGTGGCTGAAGGTGAGTTTGGACTGCAGAAACAATAGAGTAAATGGCAGAGATGGAAAGTCTTAGGCAGAGAGAATAAAGACTGGTGTAGAATCCTGAAAAGGTGGAAAAAGTGAAAATCCTCGAATATTAACAAAGGAAAAATGCAGAAAGAAAACAATATAGACCACCGTATTAAAATTGCTTCTTTCATTCTGGAGCATCTGGGTTACGGTACCTTGATCCCGACAGAGCTGATGCACCCACTATGCCCCAAGAGACCCACTCTTCAATCACTTGTCAAATTACCAGACTGACTGTGCTCCAAAACCAACATTTACCTGGGCAGGGATGGTCCCCAGTCAGTAGTACTGGCTTCCTCTGATGCATCTGAGCCCTGTCTGCTTCTAAAGTGGGGTTGAAACAGTGTCCTGAGACCCTGAGAAGCTGAAGGTATGCAAACCGTGTTCTTTACCTCTACTCCCAGAAGCTTTCTGGGTATGCCATGTAGCTAGATCTGCATTCATGAGGCAAAGGGAGCTCAAAATACCTTTGGTTGTTAGTAGTGCCATCTCTCCCCATAATTAAAAGTTTCTTTTGCTTTGATATAACAGGATGGCTACAAAAAAACCTTATTCTATTCCCTTTCAGTACTTGAATGACAGAAATATATGGAGGAATGTCTTATTGGAGACCCTTGTCAGACTGCTCAAGGGACATTGCAATTAATGGTGAGATCTTCTGAAGGAGGAACAGAGATGTCTACAAGACAAGGACAAGTAAAGTAGTAGTCTAGGCTTCTCTTGAACTTCGCACTGGCCAAGAAATTAAGGGAAAAGAAGGTTAGAATTTTTTTCTAACAGACAGCCTCATAGACAGTGGCTATTTTAGGGCAATTATTTTTCTCCATTTATCCCCATTCCACATTTCACAGGGTATCTCACTTAGTAAAAAGATAAAATACACAGAGGTACCACATACAAAAACATTTTTATTGTTGTTATAATTCTCTGTTTAATGCAATGCTTTAACTAGGAATACAACTCAGCAGAAGTACATACACATATATTGCATGTAATTTTAGTTGTCTCTTCAAAATGTTTCAGATGCTCATCATCTCATTCTTTCATGGCTTGTTTTGGTGAAACACTTTCTTTCTTCATCCTGCATGACAAATTTGTATGCTGCTGAATAACACAGACATTTTCTTCCAAATGGAGCACAACATTACCTCCAAATTCCCAGTTAAAAGGACTTTATCAAACTTTGCTTTTACTGTATGAATGTTGTGTATAATATGTGTATATCTATACAGCATATATAAATATATATCTATAATGTATATATAATCAAGTGGGTCAGCCTTACACAGCTAACCATAAACTTGTGCTTATCTTATTTATATGAGATCAAATGGACGGTATCAAGAATTTGACCAGATTCCGACTTATAAGATCCTCAGTTCCCAGTTCTACCACATGATTTTGGCTATCACATACAAGAAATGCATTCCCTTCTTTCTTGCAGCAGTATTTTTGTTTGAAGAAAAGAATGCAGGTGTTTTTTATATAAACAATTAACAGGTTTTTCAAACCCTTAAGTTAAAAAAGGTCTCAAGAAGAGATGAGGTTCTTCCTCATACATAGAGCTTGAAGAGTAATTTGACATTCATTGTAGATATATTTACATTATAACCTTATCTGGATAGTATTACACATAATGTATTATTTTGTACACAGTCAAGATATGGTGTTGGTCATGTTAAAACACACTATCTAAAGGTATTTACAAATTACTTTAGTAAGTACTTAACTTACCAACCACCTCTGAAAAGTGGCAGCAGAATTAAGGGATAAGATATAAGAACATCTGTTGATTGGCGACCATGGTATTCTCATTAGTGTTTTTATTATTAATAATACCACTACTACCATGAGGTGCTTCAGGAAAGGGCTGTCTTTGGGCTAGAGGCATAGAGACAGAGCCTCCCTGAAGCCTACATTAGCTGGTGGATGCAGAAAAACAATCCACCTGTGACTTCCTACTCCCTTTGCAAGTAAGGGCACACCAAGCTTGTCTCCCTGTGCTTTCCTCAGTGCTGTCAGGTGAGTCAGTCCAGACATTAAACACTCAGTGAAATCTTCCTTCCAATGGCCACTATAACAGGGGCTGCAATCACGCTGCCTGATGTACCACACAGAGATGCTTCTTCCAGAGAGTCAGAGCACTTTGGGACATCTGTTAGAAAATAGTTTCTGTGTACTTCTTGGCAAGTATGATTTAAAAAAATAGAAAGAAAGAAAAAGAAAAAGAAACTCACCATAGGAAGATGAAAAGAGTAGTTACCAAATAGCACTTTTTCAGGTAATGCAGAGCTTGGAAGGCACCAGAATTTACTAGAATGAAATGTGTGTAGCAAATCTACCCAGTATCCTGAAATATGAGGCCTGGGAGGACTGATACACTCATGTAACGCACTGGTTCCACAATGTAGCAAAAGAGGTCAAAGTAAAAGGAAAGTAAAAATATAGCAGAAATAATTGCATTGGTTGTGATAAACGATTCATGTTCAACTCAGTCTTGCTATAATTACACTCTTAGGCTTGGATTGTCAGTAAATGCTAGTAAACTCAGGAATTCAAGGGAAGGGAGGGTTGCCTTACCATTGCACAGAGCATAGAATTAATCCGTGCATGTTCCTGCATGATATTCCACTACAAGAATATTCACTCTTTGACATTATCCACTGACGAACGTGGAGAACAAAAGAATTGTTTTGGCTTTGTTTCATACGAGGGTTTGTTTTACTTCTGATTCAAAACCCATGCAGAAAGGATTTATGGAACTTCCCACTCCACACAGTAGGCTGGGCTTCAGCAGAAGGGGATTTGCATGCTAGAGAAAGCAGTATTTTGGTGGGGTTAAAGAGGTTGAATACCAGCATTCACAGTGCCTAAAAGATAAGGGAAACTGCATGCCTGTAGCTGAAACACAGGTGACATACTTGTTAAAGTGAAGAAGGAGAAAAGCTTTTTGTCAAGACTGTGACAAAAGAGGAAAGACAGGCAGAGAAAAGAAGCCACCGCAAATTAAAGAGCATCTCTCAGCTTCCTTCAAGGAAAGATTTTCTATAAATTTTTAGAAAAAAAAGGGATTTAAAAGTCTAGAGCTTCTCGTGATATACAAAACCAGTAAAACAGTAACAGTGATATTGGATAGAAATCATTCCCATAATGTGTGTCTCTAGGCACTGTAAATAGACCCAGGGTGAAAGAAAAGTTAACTTCTTTTTAGCTTCTCATTTCTACCACTTGCAGTGCTGTCAGCTGAGAGTACAGAACCACCTAAGAGGGCCTTAAAAATATCAAAGGCTATTAGACTCCAAACTCATTATCTGTCAGCAAATGCCCCCCAGCAACAGGGCCAGCATTTATTTTTCTGCATTTTCTTTCTTAAGACTTTATCTTCTCACAAGAAACACCCGAATTTGTCAAAAAATAAAGATTTTTAGGAATTATTTTATGGTGAGGGAGGAAAAACATCATCATCACTCTTTCCTCCCAACCCCCATCCCCCCTTCCTCCAGCTGCATTCATGCCAGATTTGCAGCAGGATGCCTGTCAGGATGCTTTACCTATTTGGTCCTGCTAGGCTGGTACCGTGAGTAGTTTTGGGGAACAGAAGTAGCAGTTCTGTCAGTTGAAGTAAAAAATTCAAAGTGTACCCCCTCAGCACCGCAGGAGAAAATGGGAGCTGTATACCAAGGCAATATTCATCCACAGGAATGTCTCATCCATAGGAATGAAGAAGAGGAATTAAAATCAGTCAAAACCAGGGAAGGGGGCAATGAGTTTACTATCAAGGCCCACTGCAAGGCAGACAGATGGACATATTAAAATCCATGAGGGGAAAAAACCAAAAAAATGTCCCTCCACAGCTTCTCCTGTCCCATCTGGGATGGCCAGGAGTAGCTGGGCCACCCCAAGGGTTTCTTCACTGATGTGTGGGCTGTTCTCATCACAGACACAATAAAGGCACCTCTTCTTGACAATATGCGTTCCTCCACCGCAAGAGTGTAAAACAAAGTACTGATAGATTTAGCACTTGCTTTTGTCCCTTTCATGCTTTATGAATGCCAAACAACAGATCCCTGGAGTCCATTTGAGCACTCCAATCCCCAAGAGCATTTGTAAGACAGAAAAGGAAGAAAGAAAAAGCAATCTGACCTGTATAGATATGTTTGTTGCATCTGGACTATTTTTCATCAGGTAACATTGAAATACTTCACTATCTTTGAATGGATCCTATGATTCCTAGTAAATCAAATGAAAAATCCCAAATAGAAAGAACACTGACGGAATTTTTTCTTAGATTTTGTTCTCACTGGAAAACAGATTTTTGATATTACTTCAGTTTTCTTTCTTTCTTTCCTTCTTTCTTTTTCTTTTTCTTTTTTTCTTTCTTTCTTTCTTTTTCTTTCTTTCCTTCTTTCCTTCCTTCCTTCTTTCTTTCTTTCTTTCTCTTTCTTTCTTTCTTTCTTTCTTTCTTTCTTTCTTTCTTTCTTTCTTTCTTTC